ATATATATATATATATATATATATATATATATATATATATATATATAAAATGTCCCCTCATCTTTACTAAGTTTGGTGTCTGCCTTGTAGGAGCTGCTGCTCTCTCTGGTGCTGTGACTCACACTCTGTCCCCGGTTCTGTTGGCTGTTGAGTTAACGGGTCAGTTCAGCCACGCGGTACCCATCCTTCTGTCCACTCTGCTGGCCAACAGCCTGGCACGCTATGGACACAGGCCTTCCTTCTACGACGCCCTGACCATCAGCAAGAAGCTCCCGTACCTGCCCTCACTGAAGAAGGCATGTCCTCGGTGAGTAGAAACAAAATAAAAGCTCAGAGTCGGAAGAAAACGACACGATTACAATGGAAAATGTCTGGTTCTCTGAATCACAAGGGAACAAGTGTAAGAGCAAATATATCTGTGGAAAACTAGACATCACATAAAAGTTCTGTTAAAACTTTGAGTTATGATGATTTTTCCTTTGTAAGCAATACTAAATCAGGTTTTCATAACAGAGCTGATAGATCGGGGTGTCCAAATGTTTCCATATGTGAGCCAAAACTATTCAGATGAAAGGAGTCGTGGGCCACAAAAATGTGAATTTAAATCTCAACGTGAACAATAATTTGGAGAAAGGACAAAAGTTTACTAATTTTGGTGGAGAATGTTTTAAATTGTTGTAGATCCAAAACATTAAAAGCCTCATAAACACTAAGCTTATGGTTTTTTTTTTATTAAAAATTATTTAATTTATTTGATTAGTTGGGTCTATGTTTCTTGTTTTCTTGTGTGTGGAAAATTCGTTTTAGTCTGTTCTCAACAACAAAAGCGTAATTTGAGTAAGTGTCCTTTTAAAAACGGGTCGATCAGCCTTTTGGACCACAGACAACCCACAAGGCTGATCGAAGTTCTGAAAAATTGTCCAGCTGTCAGTCGCTACAACAGGTTCATAGAAGGTTTCTGGTTGATCAACTCGTATAAAGATGATACCACGTTATATTCATTTAAAAATGTCCAATTTCCCTCTTGATTATTTTATCAACTGCAACATTTAGCCACATTTTATGAATTATTATCCAAAAGTCTCCTTTCTGGTAAGAAATCAGTAAAGGTTTGTGGTGCTTTGTACCATGAAGTGAAAATAAAAAGATTACAGCCAAAGTTTTGTATTTTGTTTAATATTGCTCATTTTGAGAATATTGTTTTTCATCTGTTTTGCTGTTAAACCTAAATATTATATAAAAAATAATTAACTAATTTGCAGAAAGTCTGCATTGACCTCTTAAGCCTGATGACCAAAATGACACCATTCTTAAACTGCAGTTTGTGGGCCGCACAGAATCATTCCAAGGGCCACAAATGGCCCACGGGCCACACTCTGGACGCCCGTGTGTTAGACTGAAGACATCATTAAATGTGTTTAAGGTGTCCCTTCATTACGATAGATGTCCTGACTTTTAGTTAAACTTTACACTTTAGTGTATAACAGGATCAATTGCCAACTATTATCAGTATTAAATCCAGGTTGCAGGTTCACATCCTGGCCTTGCTGTGTGGAATCTAGATGTTCTCCCTGTGCACATTTACTCTGGTTTCCTTCCACAAACCAAAAACATGCATGTTAGGGTGACTGGTAACTAAATTGTCCCCGGGTGTGAGTGAGAGCATGAATGGTTGTTGGTCTCGTTTGTCTCTGTGAGCCTGGCTACAGGGACAAACGAGACGTGCACGTTTGTTACCAAAATGAGTTCATCCATGTCCGCTCGTCCACCGGATGAGTTTTATTGAAACTTACAGAAAGTAATCACTGGCTGTACATCTACAACTACTTAACTTTTGAAGCGAACCTCATTAAAAATGAGGTGTAGCCACAGTCAGCTGACCTTAGAAATGACTACAACTGTACATTTTACAGATATCAACCTTAAAATTTGGTATTTTAGTAGTTGCAAGTTCTGCAACACATAATCTGAGTCCCAACACTTTGAGAAAGGTCCATCCTTTATCTTTATCTGCTTCTTCCTTTTTGGGTCGCGGAGGGTCACATGTCCAGCTATCACTGTGGGAGAGGCGAGGGACACCGTGGACAGGTCTCCAGTCCATCACAGGGACACACAGAGACAAACAACCATTCACTCTCTGGACAGTTTAGAGTTACCAATCAGCCTAACGTGCATGATTTTGGAGTTGGAGCAAGATATTTATGAAAGGTATTGCAGTAAACTATAGTATTTGGAGTCAACACTGTCCTTCTGTCAGCAAAATATCTCATGTACCACTGAATGAACTTCAATGAAACTTCAAAAATGTTATCACTGGTTGTATCTTCTTCTTTTGGCTTTTCTTCAGGGTCTCCCCAGCGAGTCATCCTCCTCCATCTCTGTCCTCTGCATCCTCTCCAACTACCTCCATGTCCTCTCTAACTGCATCCATCTATCTCCTCTTTGTCTTTTTCCTGGCAGCTGCATTTCTAACATCCTTCTACCAATATACCCACTGTCCCTCCTCTGGACATGTCCAAACCATCTCAGCCTCTCTAACTTTATCTCCCAGTCCTTCAACCTGTGCTGTACCTCTGATGATCTCAGTCCTAATATTATCCATCCTTGTCACAAGTTTAGAGTCAATTCAGTTTTATGAATCCCGGCATATGATTTATAGAAGTTCCTTCGTCATGTTGGAAAGCCTGAGCTGGTTTTGTTTTCCTCTGCAGACTTCCCTCCACTCCTGTTGGGCAGGTTTTAGGAGTGAAACCAGTGCAGCTTCAGAGAGCAGCTGGACCAGCAGAGGTTCAGTGTGCTGTCAGAAACAGCACTGAAGCCCAAATCCCCGTGGTGGACTCACACGGTACGCAGACATGTCTGGATTTTCGTTTGTCAACCTATTTTTTTTCACCAAAGATGTAAAGTCCTCTGTAAAATATGGAAACAAAATCATAAAATATTGAGGAAAAAATCATTGCTTTGATTGATGGGACTGCACTTTGAATCAGTATCAAAAAGAGTAAAGAAATAGAGAGAGATTGAAAAACGTTCACAGGCTGAAGCAATTCATGAGAGTGAGAAGGTGACAATTTTGAGAAAATTGTCTGCCACCCGAGCGTTTCAGCAGCAATCATATGGATGAATTTTCATCACTCACAAGCATTCGATCGCTGCCCTGTTGCCTAAAACTGTAGCACCGACTGTGGCAAAGAAACTTCCACTTCTTTCTCCTGTTTTGTTGCAGAGTCCCAGCTTCTGCTGGGTTTCGTTCTGCAATCAGAGCTGCAGACGTTCCTGCGTCACTGCAGGACTAAGGTAACGAGCTGCGGGAAGACGAGAAGCTGCAGAGTTTAGAGGAAGGCCGTCTGAAAAGTAGCTGTTTAGAAAAGAGTCCATGTCTTTCAAATCCTTTTGGAAAAAAAAAAAAAAAAAAGAGCAAGCTGCACAGAAAGCGTTGCTTTCTGACTGACGTGAAAGCTCATTTTATTACAGCTCACATCCATCTGGAAGCAGCATCTGCCCACAAAAATACTTGAGATAAATGCTGCTTATCAAAAAATTGGATTGCAGCTTTAGGCAGGAATAATTATAGGAAGTATGAAGAGTTTTGTATGGGGTTAGAAACAACTATTAATGCTGAGTCATGCTATGAATGCTGATTTTTACTTATGAGCTGTTTTGTGCAGAGAGTGGAGGGACGTCTGGACGATGTTTGCTGCATTCACCCAACCTCGGTCCTGCTGTCTCCTCACAACACCGTTGAAGAGGTAGGAAGGTGCAAAATACAGGAAATCTGCATCAGCATGTGAAGATGTGGGGAAGAGCCTCTTCCCAAAAATGTTTTTTAAATTTCCTAAAGCATGCTCACTCATCACTGTAAGGAAATTAGCCAAACTTATGCCCCATATGCACTGCTCCTGATCTGCCCCAACTGCTCAGCCTGGCTCAGCTCAGCCTGGATTTGCACCTAGACTTTAGGACCGATTCTGGAGGCGTGTCCAGAATCCAAGTCCTGCTAATGAGAGTTCTGCGATGAGTTACTCAAAGCAGTCTGCTCCTCAGATAAATAATAGTAAATTATTATTTTTATATATGAATATTTCTGTTCAGTGCCCTGAGACGACTTCTGTTGTGACTTGGCGCTATATAAATAAACTGAACTGAATTAAATCTGATGAACCAGATTCTACAAAAACATCCATCCATCCATCCATTTTCTTTACCCGCTTATTCCATTTTGGGTCACGGGGGTCGCTGGTGCCCATGTCCAGCAATCACTGTGTGATGGGCGGGGTACACCCTGGACGGGTCGCAAGTCCATCACAGGGACACATAGAGACAAACGAGACAAACAACCATTCACTCTCTCACTCACACCTAGGGACAATTTAGAGTTACCAATCAGCCTAACATGCATGTTTTTGGTCTGTGGGAGGAAACCGGAGCACCCGGAGAAAACCACGCATGCACGGAGAGAATATGCAAACTCCACCCAGAAAGGCCCCTGGACCGGGGTTTGAACCAAGGACCTGCTCGCTGAGAGGCAGCAGCTCTACCAGTTGCGCCACCGTGCTGCCCGCATCAGGATATCTATATTTAAAATTCTATATTTTTTGTCATCATTTGATGTATTTGCGCTCATTGTGCTTTTGTTTCTTGTATACAGATTATTTTTAGCTTTGATTAAAAGTTTAGCTTTCATTTAAAGCTTTAATTTAAAGTGTAATTCTTGTTTTGTGATTTGTACATCTGTGGTTTAGAATAAAGCTGAATTAAATGCTGCATCTCTTCTTTAAACATGTTTGAGGGAAATATCCCTGAGAGATCCAAGAATTTAGTCTTTTTTATGATTTTTCAGCTGAATTAACTTTGATTAACAGATTATTTAATAAAGTCAAAGTGAAAACAGGATTTCATTATAAAGCCGGCACTGTTTAATTATTTTTAATCTTCACTGATAAAAAAAAAAACATTGTTTTTTATACATAAAATGTAAAAAAAAAAAAAAAAAAAATGTTTCCACCCTCCGTCCTGGTCCTGGTCCTGCCGGGGCTCGAATCCGGCCTTTGTGAGCAGTCGAGGCCAGGGCTCGGGGTCCGGCCTCGACTGCTTCCACAGGTCTGCAGCTCGTATGATCCTCCGCGGTGACTCCGCTCGCTCAAATTTCGTCGTCGGTCACCAAACACAAAAAACGCCTGGACTTCAGAATTAAACACGGCGTTGTCATTATTGTTTTTAAAATCTTAACAATAGATCCAGCCGCTGCTCCGCGTCCTGAGAAATTGCAAATGGCGGATCGGTGAAAAGTTTCTGAGATGCAGTGACTCCTCCCCCCTGACCAATCAGAGTCCTGCATTCACGTTTTGATCCAGACTCAGCTCGCTAGATCCCACCAGAGAAGCTGGGATGAAAAGAGGTCCTGAATCAGCCTCAAATCAGCTAAAAATACTAGCTAAAGTACTGGTGCAAAAGGGTTCTTTCCGTGGCGGGCTGCCCAGAGTTGGGGCTTATTAGGGGCAGTGCAAAAGGGGCATTAGTAAATTGTGAATAGCTCACACACCTTAAAGAAATGTAAATTGCCTGACGTCTTGCTGGGCAATGTTTTAAAGGTCACACAGTCCTCGGAGTTTGTGTTGGAGATGACTCTAAGCTACTACCCTACCAAATTCTAGCTAGACATGTAAGACTGATTGGGTTGTAGAAAAATGTGTATGTATATATATATATATATATATATATATATATATATATATATATATATACATATATATATAAAGTCCAAGTTGCTTTGTCTGTGTTCTCTCAGGTGTACAACGTGCTGCGTGCAGCTGGAGCTCAGACTTTATTTGTGACAGACGAAGGAAGGCTGGTTGGGCACGTCACATGGTCAGAAGTGTGTATTCCTACTACCTATATACACAAATTCTACATATTTACTTCTTTGTTTGAATGACCCTGATTTATCTAAGAAGGTTTCTCTTACGTTCTTCTTTTTTCTCTCCTCTTGTCTTTATTTATTTTTTATTTTTTTCAGATGAAGCGGATGTTAGAGACCTTGGCTGCAGAAATCTAAACGGGGATCGGTGCTTCCAGCGACCACGTCTTAATCCCGCTTGATTACATCGCCATCTGATTATCATGCAGCACAGCCAGTGTCTAATATTAATATCACTTCTTCATTCCCCAAGTGTGCCAATGTTTGCACACAAACAAAACTGTAATTGTCTGATGATAAACATCCGTTATAGCTCATTGTTCGGCCTTTAATTGTAATTAGCAGCGTCTCGTTCATTGAAAATCTCATTTACTGATTTGCACTTTTTGACAAAGTAATAATAAAAGTTTGTCTATCAGAATAATATTCAGTGGGCAGGAAAACAAAGGTCCTTGACATAGTTTATTTTTACACTATTTAATATAATGAATCCACCGGGGTTGGGACACGTCTCAGTATCTCATCTAGATGTAGTCGCTCCTGTGATGTCATTTTGCCAACAAGCTTTAGGGTCACGACTCTGAGACTTCTAACATCGTACAATAATCAATGCACCAACAACTCCATGTGTTTTCAGCTTATTTAAGCTGATTTGATTTTCATATTTTAATATAGAATAGTAGAAGCATCATTTTATTTTTTTTCGGCTGCTCCCTTCGTCAGGAGTCGCTTCAGCGAATTAAGTCACACAAAGACTTGGAAATAGTTTTTACGCCGGATGTCCTTCCTGACTCAACCACAGAGCACCGAGCTACCACAGCCCTCTGTGTAGAGCAGAGAGCTGCCATCCAGAGTGCCCGGGGGAGCAGATGGTGGGGTTAAGGGCCTTGTTCAAGGGCCCAGAGTGGGGCAAATGTAAGTGGAGGCAGGTGTGGGGTGTTTCTCCTTTCCCACCCACATTTTGATGTTGTCGGTCTGGGGAGTTGAACCAGCAACCTTCAGATCACTCACCTTTTCTAACCTCTGCACCACCACTCCCCTAGAAGAAGCACATCTCTTTCTTTTTTCTTCTTCTCACCATCCTTTTTGTCTGTATGTTTCATGCAGGAGCTTCCATTTAGCACTTGTCTTGTCCCCATGGTCACAAATTCTTTGCTCATTGGGCTGGTTCAGATTTAAAAAAAAAATCTCTCCCAGTCCACGTACACAAGCAAATGTAGAACAGAGTTTACTTTAAAATGTAAACAACCTTTGCAGTTCTTTGTATTTCATTTGGTTTGCATGAATTCATTTCCCCTCTTATTAGACAAACTAAGCAAGAATATAATCAATAATATGATTAAGGTCTATTTTGTCTTGATAGAAAGCTCTTCACCCACCACCTTTCAGGCCAAAGTTTCAATTTAATATAATTTTATGTTGAGAAATGACAGAGTTGAAGCCATTTTGTGTAATGTCATGCACTGTTGTAAAATGTGTCAGCACTCAGCTCCTACTGCACTAAACTTTAAATTAAAATCTGTAAAACTGACGGAGTCACAGCCATTTCTGTGTTTTCTGAGGTCAGCTGGCTGGAGCCATCAGGTTGCTTTCAAAATAAGTTTTAGATGTACCGGTACATTCAGGGCTTACTTTTACCAAATCTCATTAGTCATCTAGTTGTTGGAAGAGATATTTGGGAACATTCATAAACATAATTACACGCACACATACACAGACATGAGCAAAAACATTGTCTGTCTTTGCCTTTCGCCGATGACCATGACTTTTTTGATCAACTTTTTCAAGTTATTTTTAATTACCGTATTTTCCGGCGTATAAGTCACAGTTTTTGCATAGATTTATCAGTCCTGAGACTTATATGGCAAACCGACTTATATACAATTTTTTCCATATTCATAACGCAATTTTAGACTGATGCTTTAAATTTCGAAGAACTGCAACAGTAAGTCTTCCCGTGCACGCTCGCTGCACTCAGCTGGTGCAGGCAAACGCTGGAGAGCTAACAGCTCTGGCCACGATGGATGGATGGCACCGTGCCGCCCAGACGAAATAAAGTTGTTTTGACCATTAAATAAATTCATAATAAATGCAACTTATCTATATATTTTTTCCTCTTCATGATGATTATTTTGACTGATGCAACTTGTACTGCGGAGTGATTTATATGCCAGAAAATATGGTAAATGTTTAAAAACCCACTTTAGGGAAGTTGCTGCTGTTTTCTGTACGAGTGCCATTAAACTTATTAGCAATCAGACCTTTGTAAATTTTAATAACTTGTTTATTCTGCATTTATTCTCCATACATTCATATCTGTAGGTTAATGAGAAGCAACTTTTTTTATTATTATTATTGTTGCACAGCTTTCTAGTTTTTCCTCTCAGTGTCACATTTTTTTTCCTTAAGTCACCACAGATGTGGTTTTTGCTGTGGAGCAATAAATAAACCCTCATTACGCCTCTATTCTCCTGAAGTTCGGTGATGATGGAAGTGATCACGCCAGCCACAGACGAGCCTCTGTTCCCGGACAAACGCCATCTGATCTCAAATAAAAGAGAAGATCACAATGTCGTTTTGTGTAAACGTCCCCTGAAAGAATCTGATGACAGGTAGTCGTGACACCTCCATCCAGCATCCACCTCGGTCTCAAACGCACATACAGCTGTGCCCCCCTCTCTATTAGTTCATCCTACACTTGTCTCTTCCCTTTATCCTCGCGCCTGTGTCTCTCAGACAGCTAAGTGTGAATGATAGCTAATCACAGCTCAGCCTCAGACAGATAACTGGATGGGCAATCTATGATTTTTTTTTTTTTCTTTAAACCTTTTCAGGTTTAGGTGAGAAATCTTAAAGCAACACATTTTCAGTTTCCTGGTGTTATCGCCACCTAATTATGATTATCTCCACGGTGTGTCAGTGTGAGTGAAAACCGATTCAAAGCACAAACAGACAGCCTTATGCAGCACGTAGAATAAATCTGACGCTTTATAACAAGATATGTACACCTGTGTCGTTCATTCAACTCTTTACAGCTCAGTTCTGCGCTTAAAAAATTAATTATTACAGCTCAACTGTATACATTCACAAAAATGTTGGCCTAAACCAAAGAAAAATAACACTATTTGGAGTCTTTGTTTGTAAATGAGGATGAGGCCTCTAAATCTTTCCTCAAGATGCTTTTTTTTTTTTTTCAAAAGTTGCTTCCTGAAGTGTCTGCAGATGTATTTCGGTATCGATCATTGCTGGTGGTGGAGTCTTAAAAGTCTGCTCGCCGAGTCTTATTTCAGAGAACGCCATCAGAAATGCTGGCTTTTTGATGCTCCCCAGTCCTAGTTGTAAAAAACATCATCCTCCGACAGCGAGCTGCTGTCTACGTGTCGCACGGCAGCTTCGACTGTCAGTGCGTTTCTGTCCTCGAAGGGACGATCTGCGTCCTGCAGAGCGTTGGGTGTTGGCGAAACGGAGCTGAGCGGTGGTGGATGAACCAGGCTGGATGCATAATCATCATAAGTCTGGGTGTGAAAGCTGTAAAGATGCTGAGGAACACCGACACTCCCTCCGTCAAGGAGGTACTTGGACAGGAAATGGCTCTGTGCAGCTGAGGAGGGAAAACAGAACCAGTCAAAACTATTTTAACATCTTGATAAACACACATGGCCAAAGCATGACACAGTTATTGATTTTCACAAAGTTTGATGCATCAGTGTCCTCATAATTTTTTGGCAGATCTTTCTAAGATATATTAACGTACAATTTTAAGCATTTCATAGGTTTCAATGGCTGCTGTTGGAGAAGGCATTGTTTAGTCTTTGGATGTCTTGGCTAAGAAGCAATCCCACACATGAATGTTCTCAAGATGCTTTCCTGTTGATGGGAGAACCCACCTTCTGTTTTCTGGGTGTGTTATTTTTCGCAGACACAGCAACCAGTTGGAAATAGGATTCATCAGAGACTTTTACTTTACCCAGTTCTCATGGGTCTAAATTATGAATGTTTTGCAGAAGATATCTGTCCCTGACGACTTTTGTCAAGCGAATTTACGTAAAGGTCATGGATGTTATCGCTTACTAATGTTGAATTAATGTGTGTGAGGTCAAGAGAGTCTCTTTGTCTAATCCGAGAGGAGCCTGCGTAACTTCTGACGCCTTCACATCTGTGAGCTGTGAAGCAGAGATTGTCTTGATCGCCTCTGTCTGATAACGGGTGTTTAGACTTTCCCTACCTCTTTGTCCGTGAGCGACCGGAGCTTCGATGTAACAGCTGCGTAAGCCTGTTTTGAATTCTGCCCTCCTTGTAAGTAAAACTGTGTTGAGAAGATCTTGCTGTAGTCTCAGTGTGGCTTAATGAGATGATGATAGGATTATTAATTTACCCAGCAACTTTCTTGTAGAGAAGTGCCTTCTTTTGATTGACCATTATTGAGTTTTGTACCTGGATGACTGAGCATGAACTTTGATGTCTCCTCCAAAAGTCTTTGTCTCATGTTCGTTAGATGAACTCACACCTGCCTCATTTCTGAGCAAACTCCACGCTAGTGGTTTCCTGATCTTCAGCTGAATCACCTTTAGGAGATGGTCCTGGCAACTGATGGACTTTCTTAGTGCAAGAAAGCCTTTTTCGAAAAAGGTTATTTGCAACTAACGTTCTTAATGATCTAACAAATGGTTGATTTAGCAGCATTCTTGCCTTTGAAGCCCATTTTGTCCAAAGCACTGATGACTGCATGCGTTTCCTTGCAGGAAACCTTGGTTAACAGAAGAACAGGGGTTTCCAGTCTCTTTCGAAACCTTCAAACTCCAGTTCTAACTCAGTCAACATTGACAGAGTGACCTCCATCCTCATTCTCATCAACAGTTTTCCCATGGTAAGGAAACAACCTTTGGAATGATGTCAACAGGCCTTTTGTGGCGAGGCTGAAATGCAGTGCAAATGTTTTTCAAGGAGTTAAGTTCAGCCTCCTGCAGCTGATACCATTCTGGAGTTTATGCAAGCTGCCATCATGAAAACTGAGGCAGTAAACTTTGACAATATGTGTCATTCTCAAAACTTGTAGCCACGGGTGTAAACAACAACAGATGGGTTTCTCCGGTTGTTTAGATGGAAGCAACAGAAAGTCCCACAAAAGCTGCTCGTTTAGATAAAAATGAGGTGTCAGTTGTGAACCAGCTGCTGCTCAGCATATTGCAGTTAATCTTAATAACCCATAATCCCTGGGAATATAAGAAACTCAGGCAAGCAGCAAGCAGTTTTCAGTTTGGCATGACATCACTGACAGTCTCGCAGTTTAAATTTTCATTTACGTATTTGTGGATGAAAGTACAACTATGCACGCAGAGCAAATACTTTCATAAATTTAGCTCAAAGCAGCAAAAGTGAAATAGTGATTTAGTAATAACTACAAGTAATTCTGCCATAGTGGTAATGTTTTGGGCATTTTATTTAAAGTCTGGAGAAATTATATACAGTAAGTAACACTTTTTTTATTGATATGTATAAAATAAAAAAATATGTAACTTGAAGGCTGAAAAACTACAAACATCAAAAGAAGGTAAACATAAAAAAAGGTAATTTATAGTTGAAATGACATTAAAATAACTAACTTGAATTAAACCTGATTATTTTTTAACAGTCTGAGCTGCAACTTTTGTGCAGATTCAAACTGTTTTAATTATTTGTACTGACGTACACCGCTGGGTTAGAAATCAAAACCGTATTAATAAACTACAATTAATTTTTTTGATACGTCTCTTTTCTTTCAAAAATCCTATAGAAAGATAAAGTCTTCAAATACCGTATTTTTCACCATATAAGTTGCACCTTTTTGCATAACTCCCGGAGCAAACGTCAGATCAGCTGCATTTCACGGTGCATTTATTAAGGAAAAGTTAAACTTAGACACACCTTTGTTATAATTTTGAGCAAACAAATAATTGTTTTTAAGTGTTAATCTTGTTAAATTCTTGTTAGAGTCCTCCCGTGCACGCTCCTGCAGCTGCCATTTGGCAGCCAATCTATTTTTGGCATAACACCAGCCTGCGTTTCCGGGTGGTCAGCGGTGACGCATTAAAAAACGCGATGCATCAGCGGTGATGTGTAATGGATGCAACTTATACAGCAAAGTGACTTATTTATGTTTTTTTCTCCACTTTATTAGACATATTTGGACTGATGCGACTATACGGCAGAAAGTACGATAATAGCTTTAAATTAAAAGGCACTACAAAGACCCTCACAGGAGAAATAGCTCATGATTCTCTTTTAATCTTTTGGTTAATTTGTATTCTGTGGCGTTTGCCGGGTTTTGTACTTAATAAAACTCAAAGCTTCACTGACTCGCCAACCTTGTAAGCTGGTGGACGGCTGCTCCAAGTTATCGCTCATGGGCCAAACATTCATCGCTGCCTCAGCCAGGGCAAACTGCTCTGCTACACCTGAGAAACAACACAAACATGTTTTAAATTACTTTTCTCAATCCCCCGTTGTTTCTTTTGAGGTCTAGCCAACATCACGAATTAGGAAAAATCCAATAAGAGTAGATTTAACTCACTGTCCTTGGAAACCCTTAGGGTTATTGATTTTGTAGCCAAAGCTAATCAAACAGAAACAATGGCAGAGGGCTGAGAGCATCGCGCCACCTTCACTGACCACTTTGTTTTCTTAAATTGAATTCATCCGTCCGTCTCACCTGCTGCAAAGCGAGCTTCCTTGATCTCATCCGTCATTTGGGAGTAGAACTGCTCATCCTCCTGCAGCTCGGTCCCCATCCCCCCCCATCCACCACCTCCTTTACTCCATCCTCTGCTCCAACCGGCGCCACCTCCTCCGGCCTCTCCACTTCCACCCCAACCCTTCCACTCAATCAGGTGAGCCACTCTCCCCTGCGCCATCGCCGTTGGCTTGGTGATGTGCTCCTTTATTGTGGCCACCAGGCCTAAACAAAGAGAGGAGACAGGATACGTCTTCATAAAATTCATTAGATAAAAATCAGGTGAACTGAAATGAGGGGATACCTTGAGGTAAAGCAGAACAATGTGATTTCTGTTGCTGCTATAACAAGAAATAAAGGGCATGCGGTAAAACACGAGTCAAGATCAGGTTAAGTGTTTGGTAAGAAAACTCTTTTTTACACTTTCCATTTGAACTTGCTCTTGTTTAGATTTGACCACGTTTAGCAATTCTCAAGACTCCTCCAACCGCCCACATTTGCTTTGAATACCGTGCGTTACAAACCACAACGACGACACCATTTTCTAAACCAATTTTTATATAAATACGTCATTCTTTATTTGGCTGCTCTCTCTTCAAGTCTTCCGAGTCCTCATTAACAGCATAAATTTCCGTGTTTAAAATAGTAGTCATCATTGTTGAAGTGATGTTCTGTCAGATAATTATTGATTGTCAGTATCTTTTCAGCCGTAACATCACACATGAAGCAGAGGCTAAGCCAAACTTGGTCATGTTGTTTAAACATCTCGTTGTGGGAATCTGGATTTTGTTCTGTTTTGATCTTGCGTTTTCTGCACTCCCCCGTGTTTTTCTTCCTCACGCTTTAATCTTAATCACCCCAGGTGTTCGTCATTTTGTCTCATCAGTCTCCCTTTAAATTCAACGTCTGTTTGTTTCCTCCTTTGTCCGTGCATTGTGCTTCCCAACCTCGTTTCAACCATTTAGTCCCAAGTTTTTTGCTGCCCCATCAGCTTTTGTTTTGTTTTTGTTAAATCAAAAAAGACTTTAGTTTTTACCTTGGAGTTTCCTGTGTCTCTGTGCACGTGGGTTCAACTCAAACCTCAGATCATGTCACTCGTTCTCATTGCGGAAGAAGCTACTAAACCTCTACAGGTTTGCATGACACAGTTTGTTTAGTTTGATGCTGTTTTCTCAATGAACAATGTGTTACTCTGAGTAAAGACATGGACTGACTAGTGCTGATCATGCACTCGTACATTCAGCAGCCTCGGACCGTCGGCATGTATCAACCTATCTATCTATTCTTAGTTCATATCTTGGATCTTATTACTGTTTTTCTTTTACATTTTAATACTTTGTTGGATGTAACTGGGACCCTGTGTACACAATTTCATTCCACCACATGTACCACATGAATGACAAATAATGAATCTTGGATCTTGAATCTATGCGCAACTTTAATACATTTGCATAATGACACAAACATTGTGTAACAAAGTAAACAGACTGTTTTGAAAAAGTGGTGGTGAGTTTATGAACAACTGTGTGATGTTAGAGAGTTTTGTAAGCCTGAAAAACAATAACAGGTCCTCATTTGGCTAGCTATTAGCCTAGCTTGGATGAAGACTTTTGCCTCTTTCTGTATTTTCAGTGCTTTGAAAATGAAAAACATTTGTATTAACCCATTTTAATTTGAAAATTGAGACACATTCACGTCCACATTTTGCAGCTGCAGTAATCAGCAATGCTCTAAATGTTCTTCCTTCGTATTTTTGATGTAGTTATTGTCAACGTTAGCGCCATCTACAGCTCTGGCATGGTATTTCAGCAACTGTTTGTCCTGCATGACTTTTCTTTCTGAACACGTATCAATTTAAAAATATATTGGGAGTGTATTTGAAGTATCTGTGTTCATGTGTCTCTACATTGATTTGTTATTCATAACCTGTGGAGTCACCGAGCCAAACAGAGAAGCCATCATTTCATTTAATTAAAGGAGGCGAGGGCAGAAAGGTCTCAGGAAATGAAGAGTAAAAGTGAAACTGACAGTACACCTGGGTCATTTCTCAGAGAAGAAAATTAAACTGGGACAATAAAATATATAAAATGATTAAGGCTGAAAAGTCAAAAGGTCAAAAGAGGGAAGACAATACAGAGGAAAGGGGAAAAATGTCAATAACAGAGAATATTAATAATAAAAGAATTGTTTGAAGGAACGTGCTGGGTGTCAGGGTTCTGTGAAACTGAGATAAAAATCTCATCAATTTTATTTTTGTCGCCCGTAAGATTTCTTTGTTTTATTGTACGATGTGATGCCTACAGCTGTCTCATCCCGCTTTCACACAGCGACGGCTCCGTTAGGACGATCTGTTCTGACGGATTGTTAAACTTGAAGAAGACAATATCTAAATGGATCAATTTAAGGAGAAAATGCATTTGCATCATTATTTGGTTTGTTTAAAAAGTAGCCATCTGATTAAAGGCTGAGGACCTTTATACCTGGGGGGGGGGCCAAGATGGGGTAGAGGTAGGGCAGCCAACCCGAGATCCAAAAGCCCCAGGCTCGATCCTCAGCCATTCCCACATGTCGTACTGTCTCTGAGCAAGACACCTAATCCCCAATTGCTCCCCAGGCACCCATAGCTGTCCACTGCCCCACCTGGGTGCATCCCAGGTGTGATGGGTTAAATGCAGTGAACTAATTTTGCCGTCATACAATGATGACAAGATATAGCACTTTACTTTTATTTAACTTCTAAAGTCAAAGAGAACACAGGTGACGCTTCCGTGTGTTTTATCCAGACTGATGCATCTAGTTCACTTTACTTAAAGACAGTTCGAAAATCTTCATGGCTCGAGAAAACTGAAAACTTTCAAGCCAAAGTGTTTCTTGTGCTGTCGTCTAAATAATTGTTGCAAAATAAATAAATAAATAAGATTAGAACTAAGATTCATTCAACCTTTATTTATACAGGTTAATCCCATTGAGCCTCAGACACTCATTTACAAGAAAGATCTGATTTCTTTAACAAATAGTGATGACAACAGTAGGCACTCATAAAAAACATACAAATTGAGAAGAACAAATAAAAGAAAATGGCATTTAAAAAAAACAGCTAGATTATAAAGTGGTGTAGAAAACTAAAAACAGGAACATGTCTGCATTGGGTTTTCCCAGGCAGGAACTTAACAGATGTTTGAAGCCACTTAGAGAGGTGAAGGTCGAGAGCTTCAGATCTTTTTGCAAGATATTCCAGGAAACAGGAGCGGAGTAGGAGAAGTCCCTTTTGCCATGTTCAGTCTGCACTGAGGGGACACTGCAGGTAATAATGTCCTGAGAGCGCACACTGTAGCTGCACTCACGCAGAGACATGTAGGAGGAGATGTATGAAGGCAGCAGACCAAGAAGTGATTTAAAGATGAAAATGTACCAGTGAGAGAGTCTGCGTGAAGTTAATGATGACCAGTTAACCAGTGAATACAGGGTGCAGTGGTGGGTATGATAATCACAGCCAGTTAAGAAACTTAGTGCACCGTGATAGACAGTGTCCAACATCTGCAGGGTTCTTGTAGGAGCGTTCATGTAAATAATGTCACTGTAGTCAATGGAGGGAAGGAAAGTCACAGTTACAAAATGTTTTCTAGCATTAAACGTTTGACAGGATCTACAGTATTTCTTAAAAAGAAACCCTATTTAACTTTCAATTTCCTTATCAAGTTTTCCACGTGGGGCTTAAAAGAGAGATGCCAGATTAATTTTTAAAAAATGAGTAGAGTTTAAATCATGCATCCATGTTTAGCTGCTTGTTCATGGTCAAGTTGTGGAGGCAGCAGGTCCAGGAGAGAAAGGCAGACATCCTTCTGCCCGGTGGCTCTCTCCAGTTCCTCCTGTGGGATCCCAAGGTGTTCCCAGGCCGGAGAGGTTACCTAATCTCTCCTGGTCTACTTTGTGGTCTCCCCAGATGATGGAGCTCATCTCATAACACTTAACTCATCTCTAAGGCTGAGCCTGTCCATCCTACAGAGGAAGCCCATTTTAGTCACTTGTATCTGGGAATTTATTTTAGTCACGATTCACTGTCTCATGACAAGAGTTGAGGACTGAAATGCAGGAGAAACCAGAAAATCAAGAACATTGTCATTTGGATAAATGGTCATGGACTGAAGCAACGCTCTCATTACGGCAGACGAGGCCTCGATCTGACGATTCCTCTCATGCTCCATCATGGCATCACTTGTGAACAAGACTACCAGTACTTGAACTCCTCCAGTGGAGGCAGAGGTTAATCATTTGCTAGCCGGGTGTCAGACGAGGGGCCTGCTGATTTCTGGCAACACAAACCAGCTCCCAGTAAGTGGAATGATTTTTTTTTTTTTTTTTTTTAATGATGAGATAAATAATGTAAGTCTAAAGCTGATGTGTCAAATTGATTAAAGACAGCTGGGGAGGGTTTCAGTCAATGGATATGAAATGGCACTTAAAAAAAGTGAAAACTGCACAAATCATAAAAAAAAAAAGTGATTTTAAACCTTATGCAGTTTTTTTTCTCTTTGTCTTGTTGTACAATCCAAAACAGCTGGAGGTGCAATTGAATTTAAACAGTGACGATTGCGATAGAATCAGTGTTTTAAACAATATAATGTTACTTATAAGCTCCCATGCTAACTTGCTAACAATGTAGACAGACCAAACACCCAAAGCTCTGTTGCAGAGCCACATATCAGAGCGTTTTTAAATGTCATGCTGATATTACAGTCAGGGGTCTTTATGGATACCCAAAGACAATTTGATTTTACTAAACCGCCAGCAGGCAAGTAATGTTAAAGTCAGGCTTTATTAATACCAGCTGGCCCATTATGAGGAGCAATCTGTTTAGAAGACGTTATTACTAAATGACGGCTTAAACACCAGTTGACACATGACTCAAGGTTCAAACCATCTGAAACATTTTTTTAACGAATGGCTTTAAATAATACTGCAGCAGCCATTAATCAACAAGAAATACTCACAGCTACATCAGATGCAGCTATCAAAAAACCTTTCAAAGCAATTAGATCTGAGTTGCCTCAATGTTGCTTCAATGTTGCCTCAATGTTGCTTCAATGCCCACAAGCAAAAGAAAAAAGGGCAAAAATATTAACCTGCTTCCATATTTGTTAATCAGCAAAAAACAAAACAAAAATCACAAACCCCTGGATGGATTATTTTGAAACTCTCAGAAGGAGATCAGTCGATGTACATCTGTATCTGATTGACATTTAAAATCTATTCAAGATGGTTGCGATGGCTACGTGATATTCCCAAACACAAAAATGGATCCAACTCAGCCATTTTACAGATAATAAATTAAATTCAGTGTGTTAGTAGCTAAGACTAATCATCAATTTCTACTTGAAACTGACCGTGTAATAACTGCATTTATAACTTTGCCTCCAACTATTACTGTAAAATGTCTGTCAGCGTAATATCTTACCATACCATACCACTTTATTTATAAAGCACTTAAAACCAGCAGCAAGGCCAACCAAAGTGCTGTACAACAAAACAAATAGCAAAGGACACGGGATGAAATATATAAAATCCATAGAGGTAAAGATAAACTAAATGACTAAAATAATAAAAATACAGTGAAGTTAAAAATCAACTCACACTGGATCAAAAGTCAGGGAATAAAAGTGTGTTTTTAAAAGAGACTTATGAACAGTGAAAGACTGAGCCTGCCTGACATGTAGTGGTAACTCATTCCACAGTTTTGGACCTACAACAGAGAAGGCACTGTCACCTCTGAGCTTGAAACGAGTGCCAATAACAGCGTCTGGTCTGCTGACCTCACAGAGAGCGCTGTGGGACATATGGCTGCAGCAGATCAGCAAGATAAGAGGGGGCAGAGCTGTTCAGAGATTTAAAAAACATACAAAAGAATTTTAAAATTACTTCGGAAGTGATCCGGGAGCCAGTGGAGGGAAGCCAAAACTGGAGAAATGTGCTCTCATTTCTCTGTACTGGTTAAAAATCAGGCTTAGATTAAAATAAAACTCAAAGTAATCATTGGATCTACATTTACAACTGATTAACTCTCGGCATCAAACCCATCATCCATCCATTATCTTTACCCGCTTATTCCATTTTTGAGTCACGGGGGTCACCGGTGCCCATGTCCAGCAATCACTGTGCGAAGAGCGGGGTACACCCTGGACGGGTCGCAAGTCCATCACAGGGCCGGCATCAAACCAATTCCTCTAATTAATATAAGCAAACACAAAAATGTCTAACACTTGGTCAAAATGATGGATGTTGAGCTAAAGTTTGATGAGGTAGTAGATGAGCTACCTCATAGCGCTAGCAAATCTTATGGGGTTATGCATGACATTTTTGACCAAAATGGCTGTAACTTTGACCTTTTTCATCAGAAGATGATTCTAGTTTAACAGTCTGACATAAAAGGTGATTGTTGTTGGTCAGAAGACACCATAAATCTCCCGAATGCTGAGCTAAGTGATGAGTGATGTTGTCTGGGTAAATAATATTAAAGAGCCTTTTAATCATTTCGTTATGGTACTGAATCTGTCACTGTCGGAGCAGGTGCCAGCATCTCCGCTGTGCGCCTGAATGTATTTGTCGGACTTATTCATGAGGTTTTCATGCTCTTCATAATTACACTGTCAGCCTAATAAAGGAGCTTTCACATGGAAAAGTTCAGCAGGGCTCAACACATTAACTTAAAACGATGAGCCTCATGCAGAGCGAGGGAAGCTGTAAAAATGACACAGAGTGACATGAGATAGGGAGAAATGAGGAGGAGGCTCCAACATGAAAAGAGCAGGAAGCCAGACATAGAGTTGGACTCTAATGGTTGTGGTGGAGTGTGCTTTTGGGTGTTTGAGAGAAAAAGAGATGGAAGAAAAAATAAATACAACTTTCACAGTTTCACATAAGAAGACACTACTATTTACTCACCACATGATCAAAACATCAGCTTTTTCTGTTTCTTACCCATTAGAGTAGATGTAGCCAGCTCCCCAATGTCATAGTGGCTGGATTTATCTGCTACGGTGCCGTTGGAGGGGTTCTGACCATCCTGCACAGCACAAACAGAAAACAGGTTTAGGTTTTTTTTTAATTCAACCTTTATTTACACAGGTTAGTTCCCATTGAGCTTCGAGGACTCATTTACAAGAGAGACCTGTTACAGACAAACAAAAGTAGATAAGGAAAAGAGAAAATACAAGGGGAGGGGAGGTTAAAAAAAAAGTATCTTGCACTATGTTGTGGCCGAAGCACAGTGCGAAAGCTGAAAAAAAACACCTTGCGCATAAACAGCAACATACTAATGACATCATAATACATTTATGCATGAGGAGGCCGATGAGAACAGTGAGTTGTCCGTGGAGACTGACAGAACGTTTCATAGTCCTGACAAAGAAGCCACAGTGTCTATCAGCCGGCTCAGCTCTGACACAGATCCACAGATGTTCTCGGGAGGGTAGTGATAGGGGAGAGGGGGGAGCGGAGCTTCTCGCTCACATGAACAACCAGCAGAAGTTTGAGATAGCTGGTCAATTCAAGGCCAAATGAGGAAGCCAAATTCAGATAATTATTTTGGGTCAGGCAGCCTCTGATTGAATCTCCACGTCTGCCTTCATAGTTCTGCTGGTCTGTCTCAGTGGCGATTCCAAACAGCCAAATTTTGTGGTCACACTGCTACACCAAGCTTGTATCCTTTTCCAAGGTCAGTTCCTTCCCACCAGTGAGTCCCAAGAGCCGCAAGTGGCCTGCAATCCTCAAATTGAGTCCAGCTTACGGCTCAGTTCATGCAGCGTCTGAGTCTGAGTCTGAGAGCGTACCGCTCGGTACATTCCTTCATACAAGGCAGGCAGCCTCACAATTGCCAGAACCGCTATTGCTGTTTTCTGAATTTGTCGATATGCCAGATACCTGCCAACACCAAAATGCAGAAATCCAGTTATCATAAACCCAATTATGAACGCGTCTTCTACGTCCTCCACGGACAATACAGACAGACACCATCTTCCACTGGCCCCAGGAATCCATCGTGTATCCAGCTGCGAGTGTCCCTTCAGGGCATGAGGGCTCTCCTCTGCCCCGTCTTCTCGTTGAGAAAATTTTGTCAATTGCGTTGAGAGACCAGCTGACCAGGTCCATAATTATAATTCGGATGATATGTAGTGAGAGGCTCCGATAGGAATCACAAGACAAACACCAAAGCAGGAGGGAGGGTAGGAGCAGGAGGGAAATGTTTCCGTCCTCATCAAGAGCAAGCAGGAAAACACTTTTAAGAGTTATTCTAGTGGAAAGGTTGAAAATACATCTCATTTTACTGAAAGTAGAGGGATATGTCATTTAGAAAAAGAGAGCAGCCCTTTTTTTGTTCTTTAGGACACTTCTTGGTTGCTAAAGTGTCCTTAGGTGAGATGGTGAACTCAACTTTGCTGTTAATCTGTTCAAAGCTTTGCATCGACTCTAAGGCCCTGTTCATACCTGGCACAAACATCCGTCTTGGGTGATTTGACTGCAAGTGGACAGCTCCAGTTGAGAGCGTTCACACCTAACAGTTAAGTCTGTACCGCAAAACATTGTGCTGCCAGATGTTAATTACCAGCTGACACATGCAGCCACATCCCACAATGGGCTATCAGCTGAGCAACAAACCCAATTGATGTTTCTGTAAACATTACAATACATTCAGACACCTAAACTACATTATTCTGACATTAACCTGATCTGAGCCACATTTATGTGGAGTTATTTAGTGCACAATTTTCATAAATTCCATTAACATACGGGAGAAATGAAGATGCGTCTTTAGTTAGACTCAGTGTCAGAGCAAAGACTGAAGATTTTAACCCCAAAATTCATCGCATTAAACCAGTGTATAATTTTTCCAGCCATCAGCAGTTTTCCTTTCTACTCAGCTTCACTGGTGACTGTAACGTCAGCGTTGTGTTTAATTGGGTGAAATTAAAGCTGCTCAGACTGTTGTCTTGTGATTGTCACAAAATATACAAAATACAGCAGCCATGGGTCTAATTATAGCTAAATCAATGAAGAAACAAGAAACGGAAGAGGAACTTCCCATGCAGCAATCTGGTATACAAAACTGACATAAACCTTCTTAGTTAAACCTTTTAAGCTAAATTTTTAAGAAGTGTTTCAGAATATTCTTACGAATGGCTGGCTTCATTTAGCTGACAATTTAAACTTTTTTTTGTTGTTGTTTTTTAACCCTGATACATTCAGTTACTAATTCTGCTACATTTGTAGGGTCACATCAGTTCAGTAGTGTTGCAGTGTGGCTGTAGATGGACTGTGTTCAGACAACCAAACATGTGGATAAATCTGAGTCCAGACCACTTCCAAAGGTAATCTGAATGAAAATGTTTTCAATGTGCATTGAGGCCATTCACTGTACTGTGCTCTGCCATAATTAGCTCTATCTGAATCAGCTGGGGTGGAGATCAGTGGCAGGTGTGAATGGGGTCTAAAAGACTGTTCGGACAAGCAACTTATATATGAATCTGTTTGAATGGGTTGAAGTACTTTGAGTGGTAAACAAGGCAAAAGAAAAAAGTATTTTGTAATGATATCTGTTTACCATTTCCCAATGGAAGGAGAAGTTCTTTCTTTAAGGTGTACAATGTTCAGAGTCACAGATTGGGTGGTGGCAGTGGTTGGGACATTCAGTGCAAACCCAACATCCATCTATGTAAATTAAAATACACACACACATGAAAAGAACCATGCTCCACTAGAGATCACATACTGTGACTCAACCCACACGTTTCCCACGTTTATTTTTCTTTCGGTGATAATGAAGAAAACGTGAAGAGACTCTGCAGCCTTCACGCTGAATCAGGTGCAAACAACAGAAGGTATTCTCAACACCCAGGAAGACGCAATCAATATGGAGAGAGGAGCTTTTCTAATGGATTATTCCAGATTTAGTGTTCTTGTGACGACAGCAAAAACTTGAGTTAATTTTTTTAGGAAGTGCTAACAAGATGGGATTACAAATATTTCAGGGAATAGCACAGAACAAACTGTATCGTTTATTTATTTCGCAGACTGGTTGGCATTTAGGCTCTCTTTGATAATAATCTGGTTAGAGTGACGCCCCCCCCAAACCCACCCTCACACAGAGCTTTACATTCAAATCCCTTGTGGGTAAGTCTGCTCGCCTAATTCACAGCCACCAGGTGACACCTTCCTCATAAATGTTAATGAGGTTCTTCATGTTCACTCTGCAAAATGAAAAAACTCTGCCCAGGGGTTTACTCTGGATTTCCTCCTTTTTTTCTGTGCAGACCTAATTCTGCTCTGGTGGTCAGTTTCTGTTTTATTTATTTATTTGGCACTTTCACTGTAATTTAAATGTAATAATTTTTTTAAAGCCTCAGTTTTTCTAAACTATATGAGCCTTCATGCTGCGAGTTCTCAAAGAAATGATTTTCAGCATTTTGTCCTTTGAGCTCCTTTAATTCTTTCTACTTCAAGAAGTTGCCTTTAGGGCAGTCACGTCATTTAAAATGGCTGGACGAGTCTGTAATTCATTTGTAGAGCAAGGTTTCAGATAGTTAATCTCCATCTTCTACCACTTCTTCATGGTCTCTCCTGGAGAGAAACCCAGACACCCCAGCAACTTTCTCCAGCTCCACCTGGGAGACCCCGATGTGTTCTCAGACCAGAGATGATACACGATCCCTCCAGCGAGTTCTGGGTTTGCTCCGGTCCTCTTCTCAGTGAAAAATACTCAAAACACCTCCAAAGGGAAGCATCTTCATCAGATGGAGCAGCGGTTTTACTCTGAGCTCTCCCAGCATGATGGAGCTTCTCACCCTATAAGGCTTGCACTCTGTGAAAGAAGCTTCATTTGACCTCTTGTATCCAGTATCAAGTTCTTTTGGTCACAATACAAACCTCTGTTGGACTGTAGACAGGCCAGTAAACCGAGAGCTTTGCCTTTTGATTCAACTCTTTCTTCACCACAGCTGACCAAAGCAACACCTCTATTACTGAGGATGTAGCCATCATCCATCATTCCTTCTCCCGTTCCATCCTACTTGTGAGCAAGACGCCCAGATGATGCTTGAACTCATTCATATGAAGCAAAGACTCCCTCCCCACCCAGACAGACATTCCCAGACATTTCATCCCCACTAAGTCTTGACATGGTGTTAATGAACACCGTTTCATATTTTCTGTCCTATAGATTAAGGTTGCATCACTAGGAAAACCTGAAATCCAACGTATTAAAACCAAACGACTTCCAACACGACCCAACGGACACGTGTGGGACTTGTTGGACACTCGTTGGTCAGCATGTTACGAAACGCCATAAAGAAACAGTTTTCCAGGACTGGTTGCTATTGTGAAAGCAAATTTTCAGAATTTGACAAGTACATCTCACAAAATGGCAGCTTTTCATTTTGGTGCCTCTTACCCGATTTACGGACTCACCGAGGCTCCGAGGCATGAATGAAATGTTTTGTTAGTCACGTTTTCAATGTGTGAAGTAGAAATGTGATTTTTTAAAACGCTGTGACAACAACAGCTGTACGGCTGTTCAGGAAAAAGCTGAGACACTATGTGAAGAAAATTTAAAACAAACTTATGGCTCAATGCCAAATATAAAATTACTTGATAATATACCTGCGTGCATTTTAAAAGTACATTATTGTATTTCTTCGAGTACCGTTTGCTGTTGGGGTTTCAGCTGCTTCGTTCTTCTGGGGGCACCATTGTGAGTGAACTTACACCAAAGACTTGGCTTTTTAAAATGTATTTATTGTCTGATGCCCTCCTTGATGCAACCTGGACTCAAACCCGCAGTCTATTATGGTATGGTATGGTATGGTATGGTATGAAGTTTATTCATTTTAAAAAAGTACAAAACAATTCCATAACAATATATAAAAAGATACAAAAAAATTTAAAATGAAAGGCAGCAGAAAGAAGAAAAAATCTTATTTTATCTGCCCCTTTTTTCAAACAATTATTTCAGACATATTAATTTTCAAGTAACAGAACAAAATGAATAACTTTCTAATTTTTCTAATTCTA